TTTACCGAGTGTATTGTATGCAGACAGTAGAGTCCTTAGTCCACCAAGATTTTGTTTACAGGATGAAAGAAGAAAGAACTCAGCATGGAAGAATCATCATGTGTTATTCTTGATTTGAGACCTAGGTATAAGCCTTTTTGAATATAGCTGGACTACTTGCAAAAGATGGAGGTATTATCGTTCTTTGAAATGTTAAATCATATTATGCTATTTAACTGACCAAAATAAAGATTTGTTTGTTTGAACTGAGATTTCTATTTTCAAAGCAATGGAAATAATCCCGCAAGTGTCCATTTATTGCTTAAATCACATCCTCCATAAATCCAATGGATCGATTGATTATGCAAGTGGAACAATGTTCTAATTTGCAATTCGGATTCCCAGTCACCATCACATATCATCTGAGCCTTCATAAACAATTTAGACAAGGGGATCAAAGGGAACATATCAAAGTTGCAGACAACAATAAGCTGACAGGAATGGCCATCACTCCAGAACAGAGGCTTAAGATCCAGAAGATCTCGAGAGACTTCAACACTTGACCCTATCTAACATAAGAAATTTAATGGTGAAAAAAGTTTTTAAAAGTTCTATATTTAGGCAAGAACAACCAAATCACAGGTAAAGAATAGGTGATACCTGGCTCAATACTATAACTATAAGAGGGATCTTGCAGCCCTAGTGGACAATCACTTAAATGTGCACCAGCAGTTGTGTTGCAACTGCCAAAAATCCAACACAGTCCTAGGCTACATTAACAGAGGGATAAAATCAAGATTATGAGAAGTGTTAGTACCACTTTATAATGCTTTGCCAACACCACATTTGAAATATTACATCTAGTTTTGTTCAGCACAATATAGAACAGATGTTGAGATTCTAGAAAGAATACAAAGAAAGGGAACAAATATGATTATGGAATTGAAGGCTAATGAAGAACTTTTATGACAGAAAAATTAATCAGTGGAATGGCTTGCCTTCAGAGGTTGTTGGTACTCTAGCATTAGAAGTTTTAAAAGAAGGGAATGGAAAAGGTATACGGTTTCCTGCTTGATCAGGGGGTTGGACTAGAAGACCTCCAAGGCTCCTTCCAACTCAGTTATTCTGTTAATTCTGACTATATTAATGCAAAGCCTTACTTCACTACTGATCCATGGCCAAGATAAATCTCCATGCTTACTGAAAACTATCTGAAAAAAAGGAACTTATTTTCAGTTTCCTTTTCAACATAAAACCATGCTGAAAATTTTGTGAATAGTCTGAAAGTCAGGAGTAATCAGTGACAAGAATCAAATTTCCCAAGATCTGTTGCTTCAATTATTGTGCCAAATGTAAAGAAAATTTTAATCCTGGGGTTTGAATATTCTTAGCACACAGTCCCATAATCAATTTATATTATCTCTCATTGAGATTGGCTCAGATCTTTGTCCAATTTGGGAATGTATCCATAACCCACAAAAGATCCTTTCCCCAAAATCAGTATTTCCAGATTTCTTGACTACAACTGCCACAGTGATGTCCAGTGAGGTTTATGGTTGGTGAGGCAACAGACAAAAGCCACCCTATATCGGACACAGCTGCAGGGCGTTCAGATGCCCTGGCACTGTGTCAGCCATAGACGTGAGATGCGGGGAGTAGGTTGGGCAGGGGCAGGGGGTGGGTGGGCTGGCTGGCTGGGGAGGGGGGATCGTGGCCGCTCAGGTGTCCTGGCTTCGTCTGAGCTGAAGAAAGTGGAGGATTGTTCGTCGGAAGAGGCAGGGCACAAT